CCATCACAGTGACAGCCTCACACATGGTGACAGCCTCACACATGGTAAATCCACCATAAGAGTGACAGCCTCACACATGGTAACTCCACCCTAACAGTGACAGCCTCACACATGGTAACTCCACCCTAACAGTGACAGCCTCACACATGGTAACTCCACCATAACAGTGACAGCCTCACACATGGTGACAGCCTCACACATGGTAACTCCAACCTAACAGTGACAGCCTCACACATGGTGACAGCCTCACACATGGTAACTCCACCATCACAGTGACAGCCTCACACATGGTAACTCCACCATAACAGTGACAGCCTCACACATGGTAACTCCACCATAACCGTGACAGCCTCACACATGGTGACAGCCTCACACATGGTAACTCCACCATCACAGTGACAGCCTCACACATGGTAACTCCACCATCACAGTGACAGCCTCACACATGGTAACTCCACCATAACAGTGACAGCCTCACACATGGTAACTCCACCATAACCGTGACAGCCTCACACATGGTGACAGCCTCACACATGGTAACTCCACCATCACAGTGACAGCCTCACACATGGTAACTCCACCATCACAGTGACAGCACATGGTAACTCCACCTCACACATGGTAACTCCACCATAACAGTGACAGCCTCACACATGGTAACTCCACCATCACAGTGACAGCCTCACACATGGTAACTCCACCATCACAGTGACAGCCTCACACATGGTAACTCCACCATCACAGTGACAGCCTCACACATGGTAACTCCACCATCACAGTGACAGCCTCACACATGGTAACTCCACCATCACAGTGACAGCCTCACACATGGTAACTCCACCATCACAGTGACAGCCTCACACATGGTAACTCCACCATCACAGTGACAGCCTCACACATGGTAACTCCACCATCACAGTGACAGCCACACACATGGTGACAGCCTCACACATGGTAACTCCACCATATGGTGACAGCCTCACACATGGTAACTCCACCATAACAGTGACAGCCTCACACATGGGACAACTCCACCATCCAACAGTGACAGCCTCACACATGGCAACTCCACCATCACAGTGACAGCCTCACACATGGCAACTCCACCATAACATTGACAGCCTCACACATGGTAACTCCACCCTAACAGTGACAGCCTCACACATGGTAACTCCACCATCACAGTGACAGCCTCACACATGGCAACTCCAACATAACAGTGACAGCCTCACACATGGCAACTCCACCATAACAGTGACAGCCTCACACATGGTAACTCCACCATGACAGTGACAGCCTCACACATGGTAACTGCACTCTAACAGTGACAGCCTAACACATGGTAACTCCTTCATAACATTGACAGCCTAACACATGTAGTCAAGTTTCAAACAAAAAGTAGCAGGTTTCCTGCAAACGAAATAACAAATTAACAAGCCATTCTGGTTAAGTTATCTTGATATTAAATCTAAGTCATAACCTATGTCCACTTGACAGTTACCCTGACCTTGAACATCACCTCCAACTGTGAGAACCTTACTTGCTGCAGACGTGGGCACAGTATAAAACCTCCCTACCATGCCCACAATACCTGGCCAATTCAACTATACACATGTCATTTCAACAGGGTTCCCACAGGCATGGCAGGCCAAAATTCCCCGACTTTTCCCTGACAAGTATAGATTTTTCCCTGACCATTTAAGTGTAAAAACTGTCCTTCTTCCTCCCTTTCAGTCAGTCCTAACCACCCTGTTAATATATTTCCTTCACACATATCATAAATACACACAATATTTGTTAATTTATTACATTAACCAAAACATTGATATTTGTGATGAAGAAAATTTTCCTTGACTCTGCTGCCACAATGTTACATAATACTATTAGAAACAATTGATCGTGACCATCAAATATATATTCTCAGGTGAAGTCAGTAATATATCATCTGAAAACTTTGTATTTTATATTAAAGGCTTTTGACAAAGAGCATAAATGTGAAACTAATGATTTAATTGAATTGTTTCATTCAAAGTCAGGAACACATTTCTTTATTTTCACAAAATTTTGAAATTATAAAAGGCGATTTGGAAAGAATAAACATGCAAGATGTAACTTTACATTCAGTACAACCATGACAACTAGATTATGAACATCATTAAACCACTTTCAATTTTGTGAAAAAACAGCAAATGTCAGAACAAAGGGCATATTATAAACCTATGCTGTAATTTTTAACAATGAAACTTATATGGGTATTTTTGGCCAAAATGGGCTTTCACAATTTGCAAGAAACCACCATAGCCATCATACTATTTATAATATTTTGGAACGGTATTCATAATGAATGGAAAATTATCTGTTAACATAGTTATCTTTAGAAGAGGTGGATCTGTTGCCTATAAAGAAAAATGTTTTTGAATGGCAAACAATTATCTATTGTTAATCACTATGCCTATCTCGGATTAGTGTTTTTTTCCATACTAAACAAGAGTCATCAGAAGATGACAAATCCACCAGCCCATACAAATATGAAAGAGCAAATCATCTGACAGTTACTTAAAGTTGAACTTCATCTTTTTAGACAAATTCCAATATGTTTCCATGGAAACCAAGAAAAATAGATATGACAAAAATCTGTAAATGGCAAAAGGCACCACTTTAGGTTCTGTTTGATATATCTGCTAAGTTTTGTTGAAAGATATTCAACGGTTTTCGAGTTGTGCTCTGGAAACAAAGCCCACCACTCTCTTTAAGAACAGTTTAAAACGCTTTCATGGCAAACCAAGAAAAATAAAATGACAAAATATGTAAATAGTCAAAGGCACCACTTTAGGTTCTGTTTGATATATCTGCAAAGTTTTGTTAAAAACATTGAACCATTTTCGAAGTTGTGTCTCGAAACAAAATGATTACGGATGGACGGACAGACATAATGGGCAAGGCCGAACTATATCCCCCTCATTCATGCCAAGAGGACCCTTATCAAATTTATGTCAGTTTCCCAGAATTTTGGAATTTTAACCCGAAAATATGTTTCATTTTGTTTGATTCACAAATCCAACCGATTGTGCTTCATAGAAGAATAGAAAAATATCCTTCAATTGACTTTGTTTCCATTCTATCCTCCAGAAATGAAAAATGTAATATGTAATCTAGGGCTTTATGTAAAACATGCTGTTATGCTTAAAAGCAATCTCTTTATCTGAACTGTAATTTATTTCATGAAATGTCTGTAACATGTGCTGCTGCTTTGACTTTGACTGCTACCATACCTGATTAGCTGCACCTTCTGAGTCTTATTTTTCCCTGACCAAAACCCTAAATTTCCCTGACTTAAACCCCAAATTCCCTGACTATTCCCTGACTTTGAAAACATATAAAAATTCCCCTGACTTTTCCCTGACTTTCAGAGAAATGCCAAATTTCCTGACTTTTCCCTGACCTGTGGGAGCCCTGTTTCAAGCATTGATCTTCTAGGCTAACCTTTACTTCTACAAAAGGTATGAGGTAGAATACTGATCCAACCTGTCAATTATAACTGGATAAGGCTTGTAACAACAAAATAACCCAACAACATTTCATTCACATTAGCCAATTTGGGCATTACAAAAATGGGCATATATAAAAATATTCATTTAATCTCATTTCAGTTCTGCAGATCAAAATCATACCATTATATAATCAATGATCAATCATTATATAAATCAATACAGTTTGTGACAAAATTAATATCTAAGACTGACTGACAGACTGAGTTTGGTTTTACCCCGCTTTAAGCAATATTCCAGCAACATCACGCATGGGGACACCAGAAATGGGCTTCACACAATGTATCCATGTGGGGATTTGAACCCAGATCTTCGGCATGAGCCAAAGTTTTAACCACTAGGCCACCCCACCGCCACTTAATATCTAAGAGAACATTGTATCTAAGAGAACATCTAAGAGGATATTGTATCTGGTGACGATCTCTTTAAGGGTACTGACATGGTTTGCAATTTGCTTATGTGTTTATGGGGTTTTTAACATTAGGATGGAAAGAAGAAGACAAAATGTAATCACACTATGAATGGTTATGTAATAAGTTATTGACTGAACCATGAACCTATATACATATACTTTTATTTATTTGTAACTCTCTACATGTTGATACAATCAAATGCCCACCTCAGAGATCCTGTCTCCTTTACATCAAACACTTAAGTTACATCTGTGAATTTGTAGCAAACCAGAACAGCATACAAAACGTTTTGAAAAATACACACATAATTTCCATGAGACATCACATCCATGACAACTAAAACCTGTTGGTATATCTTAGAGCAAAATAATTTGAAAGAACACCTAAAACAGATCATGACTTCCTGATACAAATATATCTGGGTTATGTAATAACATCTTCATGTAAATCGTATATCAGTACTGACCCAAACAGCTGGCCTGCTAGTGAGCCTCATGTGGAGATGCTGGATGATTCGTGTTTCTATCAATGTGGGTGGTGAGGACCAAACCTCTCAGACAGTAACAATCTTAGATAACTGGGTAATACATCATCACCTGATAGTTTAAGAATCTATGTCCACATGTAGTTGAATGGTGAATGAAATTCAATGCCTGATATATAGTACAGACACTGAAACATGGTGGTTTGTACAGTTGAATGATCTAGACACAATGTGAATGTCTTTCAAACATGTTCAGTATTATATGAGCCTTCAGATGAATGACTTCCATAAATAATAACCTGTGAACATTTGAACAATCATCATTATTTTAAATAACTGGAAATAATTATTGGCTATAATTCAGTCTTGGAGAATTCTTTCTGGTTCTTTTGTTCTCTCTCCTTCCGCTTTGTGGCCAGAATCTTCATGAGCTTGTAGATGTGCGAAGTTCCTTAAACTGTGGGTTGGTTGTGAACCACAATGCTAAGGCACATCTGGTGCCCTTGACAACAGCCTTAACCCCATGAAACTCACTCAGCATTAAAGCTGACAAGTCCGCTTCCACACTTGGGACTGACATTCACCTGGGGACAAAATAAGACAGTGTTGATTCATTGTCTCTTCCATTTACAATGACATTAAATATATAAACAGACAATCAATGGAGATGACAACACTTTATCGATGATCAACTTCTTTATTTTACAATGGCGACGTATCGGTGTAGATTCTTATACCATTTTCAAGCATATAAGAATGGTATAACAATCTACACCGAAATGTCGCCATTGTAAAATACAGAAGTTGATCAACCATAAAGTGTTGTCATCTCTATGCCACCAACTTCTAGAATGCCACTCAAACAAAAGACAAAGAAATGGACTGCATATTTAATAAGGTGATACCATTCATCCTAATACTGCAACATAAGTCAGAGAAACAGTCCACAAGTGTGCAAATTATTGGAGGTTTTACCATTATATACTACTTGGTTAGCAACTCAAATGTCATGGAAACACTTGATATCCATGTATCAAGAAGTATTGACTAAAATTGCCTGTGAACTTAGTAAATGTGTATGACAGAGTAAAATCTACTCTTGTGTATGGACAAATATATCAGATAAAAATCATCAAGATCTACAGGTCACTCATGAAGGACTTGCTGTAACATTCTGATGATTTGGTTTTTTTAATTTGCAGCTGTCAGGAATTTGTTATTTTCTGAGGACTCATATTCATTAATAGTGAGTGAGTTTAGGTTGACGCAACTTTCAGCAATACTCCAGCAATATCACGGTAGGGGACACCAGAAATGGGCTTCACACATTATTCATTAATATAACTTATCATTTCTCATTAGTGCTCTCAAACAACAAATATCAGGTATATAGTCAGGATTCCAAACCACCTGTCCTTGGCAGGCAAACAGGGTCAAAAGGTTATCAATTTGTCACTTAAAGCCATAACATCAGATAGTACTGTGCAACCTGAAACAGGACATCTGTAATTACTTTAGGGGATTTCTCACATTTGTTTCTGACTTCTGGCAAGGTATCTACCTCTGAGCAGGTGTAGATAAGGTGCTGTATATTCAAAAACATATGTCCCCTTCAATAAACATGAAAAAGTACATATTGGGAAACTTCTGCAAGTAACTTATCTCACACTCTGACCACCTGAAAATGAAAAGTTGACTCAATTGTGGCAACAGTATGACCTGTGCAGCTTTCTCCTTCTGGTCTTGTCAGTCTTTCCTCTTAAGTGGATGATGTCTGGGACTGTCTGGAATTATTGTTTAACACTCAACCATTATGACACTGCGCACAAACAGTCACACTGTCTTATTATATCTTTTGTTGTGTTGTGTGTGTCTGTCTGGATCAAAGATACTTCTCAATAGCATTCAAAGCTATTGCAGAAGCTCAACACAGATTGTTCTTGAGAAGATATTCACATAAGGCAGATGTTGAAGCTCCGGAGGAAACTCCTTGTAAAACTCCTGCTGATACCAGATGTCAGCTGGATGGTTTCCATATGTGTTAGAGGAGCTGTTCTAGGTTGCAATGGAATCTGTTTGTTGTCTGAGAAGCATTGGCAAAGGATGGAGACGTGAATGGTTGATCCACCAGCAGGGGAGAGGAGATCCATGAGCCTGTCAGCCATGCTGGTGCCACTATATACAGTAACATCTGATGACTGCTGATCTTGGTTCAGACTTGTGAGATTAGTGCTGTAGGTGGAAATTTGTATGAGATCATGCCTTAGTTAGAGATTGTCATAGCACCCACTGTGTAAGCTGCCTTCATTTCCAGAAAGTTGACCAATGACTAGAGAATCTAATCACCAAAAGACCTGATGCCATCATGTCTTCAAGATGAGCACCCATCTCCTGAGTGATCCAATCACTCTGTGAAGAGATGGTGATCTGGCAGAGGCATCCTAATTGGAGTCCCTTTTATGACGCTGATTGATTCAATCTTGAATTTATCTGCATCAGAAGATCCTGCATAGAAGTGAGAGCTCCTAGGAAGGACATCTATTGACATAGATTGTGAGGAGATCGCTGAAACTATGTATCTTGATCTGACCTCTTGAAAATGATCCTCAAGAAAGTAAACTAGTTCACAACCGGTGGCGAAATGTTGCTCTGAAATATATCTAAACATTCTTGGGTTGAAGCTCTGACATTTCAGGATGAACAAGGAACCCTAATTTTCTTGAAGAAAGCACACAAATATTGAAAATCTTCTAAACAGGCATCCACTTTGGCACTTGGAGACAGGAAATCATCCAGGTACCCATGAATTCTTATACATTGACGATGTGAATGCACTAGGACTGTGATGATTGTGAATAGCCATGGAGCAACTGACATCCCAACGGTAGAACACTGAGCTATAGTCTGCAAAACTGTACAAATGGCTAATAAAATACATTCCAAAGCAACAAATATTCTTAAATGTGATGAAAATGATTCATTTGTCCATACCAAATCATTACTATTTAGATACACATCCTGCAGGTCTATGGAGATCATAGAGTCCCTTATAGTGATCATCTGTCTGAGGTTTCATATATGGACTCCATCCTAAACTTGTGAAGTTGTCTCAGGTGAGTGAGCGAAAAGTAAGTGAGTTCGGGTTTTACGCCTCTTTTAGCAATATTCCAGCAATATCATGGCTGGGGACACCAGAAATTGGCTTCACACATTGTACACATGCAGGCGCCAAACACGGTCTTCAGCATGACAAGCTAACGATTTACCCACAAGGCTACCCCACTGTTCCCAGTTGTCTCAGGTATTCCCAGTTGATGATCTTCAGATTGATAATCATCCTGAGCTCTGTTGAATCATTCTTAGAAACCAGGAATACTGGACAGAACAACCCTGGGCAGGGCTACACGGTTGTCTTTGCCACTGAAGACTTGAGTCCCAGGAGATGATACCGATGTCCTACTGTGTGTGTCAGTGGGGTCTCTTTGCAGCTTGCAGTCAATATCCTTCCTTGATAACTTTAAGGGTCCACTGATCGGTTATTTTGTTTGTAAAGGTAGTCATTTCTGCCAGCATGAGTAATTTGTAAAGATCGTACCAACCAGGACTGGTTGCATTTCTTTGCATGCATGCATTCTTTCCAGCTTCTAAATGTTATAAGAATCCACTCAGTCAACTGTATGCTTGTCCAGATTGTTTTATACATGCATTGGAATAATTGTTGGAAGGGTTTTTGAATAACAATTCCCAATTGGACATATTGTACCTGTGACACAAAAACAATTCTATTTGGAGACAATCACATAAAGACATTTAGATAACATGAAGGAATGAGCTCAATACATACCTGTGCAGATTTATTCTTGTGAGCAAAGAAAAACTCACCACCCTCAAACTCATGGTTTAAGTAGAGAATTGCACTGAAAAGAAGACACCACACATCTCAATGTAAGCAAGCAATCATGGTGTTTACAGCTCTCACTGATACTGGTATTTAAATCAGGCCACAACCAACTGGACATACAGTTAATACATGCAGCATCAATGACATCTTGTTTGTGTGTCTTAATACATGCGGAGAACTCTCCTTCAATTATCATCCAACATTTATATATAGAAATGTGAATGAACGACCCATAATCTGCTTATATTCATTTGAGAGATCAATGGCCCACCTGTCTATGTTTATTGGAGGTCAATGGCCTACATGTAATCTGTCTATATAAATTAGAGGTCAGTGGTCTACCTGTAATCTGTCTATATTTATTGGAAGTCAATGGCCTACCTGTAATCTGTCTATATAAATTGGAGGTCAATGGCCTACCTGTAATCTGTCTATATAAATTGAGGTCAATGGCCTACCTATAATCCCTCTGAATATAAGCAGGAAACTCCTTGGGACAGGAACCATCAGGCTTTAGTAAGATACAGTTGTCCGCATGGACAGGGTGACTCAGGTCCCGAAGCGGTCAAGGTTACTGTCTGAAACAAGCAGAGGTCATCAGACATGTTACATGAATACAAAGCAGTGGTTCAGGCCTGAAAGCAGATTTTCACAACTTTCCTGAAAGGCCTAAAGGTTAACAAGTCCTAAAAAATTATGCAACTTAAATCTCTGTGCCATAGTCAGCTTTTTTTTAGGAATTGTTTATGAACAGGGTCATACATTGTTTTGAGTGATTCTTGAAGATTAGACTAGAAATGATGTTTATTGTATTCTGATATTTCAGTGCAGTAAGTTTCACTAGTCTGTAAATGACATTTAGAAGTGAGACATATAAGGAGAGAATGTATGGATGTCAACTTGAGGAATACAACAGCTTGGGTCTGCCCATCAGGTGGAAGAGTGTTAGAGAGCATCTACATGCCCATCTGAGAACAACAGAGATAACTAAACATAATGGGGCACCAACTGCTCATTAACACTGTTTGGTGATTAGCAATGGGCAAATAGAAGCCAGGAGATAATTGGCAATTGGCTTAATTAAATAATAGCTCCATTGTTAAGTTTCTACCTTGTTCTGATGATACAGAAATAAAATTTCTCCAGATGTTATTGATATGATCTGGTGATGAAAAGTTATAAAAGTTAAGGAACAATTAGAAGTTTCATTAGAACCACTAATTTATGAAACCATGATGCACCAGTCTGCCCATATATGTAAGATGGCACATGCATCCCTCTTGTTGTCCTGTCCCTCGGTATTAATGACATAAGAAATGATTCACTCTCCTTCCTCAACAAGTGAACCACAATACTGAATGGTTATTTAAATCAAGTTTTTGTAGATATCTTGACATAAGTACTCAAACATACTTGTCCAAACCATGTAAACATTAAATGTATAGAGCAGATGACCCCTTCATAGTGTGACTTCATGGAAACTTGGAGATACATATGAAACATGGAGGAGAACTGGATTATCTTTGGCATTGTTTTTCCAAGTAGACACAAACATGTGACACAGCTACCCTTTCCCCACACCTTTAGATCATTACACTATACAGCCATATGTCCCAGATGTCGTAATCTGCAGGATCTGTATTAGAATCTCTGTCTCGATGTGAATGTTGTGGTGTACAACTCCACCATCGATGGCTGACCGACAAACAAGGTGTGTGAAGTCAAAGCACAGAGGCTTTGTCACATTGAAGTATTTCTCTGTGAACAGATCGACATGCGCCACCACAGGTCCACAAAAGCTCCATCGGCAGCTTAGCTCACCTCTCTCTCCAAGTTGGCCAACTGAGGAAGGGAGCAGCATCACATGACAACAGTGAACATGTTCAGATTAAAAGATATCTTGTGATCATGGTATAAGAGGCATATGTCACGCAATGGTTACAAACAGAAAATCCCTGTTAAACATTTCCCAAGATCAAAATCAATGAAGAACAACGCTAAATCTTTACAAACAACTTACAGAGGACAACTGTGAATTGATGGAAATTTAATGAATATATTACTGTTATAAGGTTAATATTGTGTTTAGTGTACACCAAGTATGTAAAACACTGTACATCAGACATCTCATGACCAGCTGCAGCAACACAGTGACGACACTGGGCAAGTACTTCAATAAATATATCATAACTGGTCTACAAACCATTTATATTCAAACAGCACACTACAGAGAGGACCCCCTATACAATAAATGGGCCCTACAATGCTATAGATGACACCAACACACTACAGACTATAAAATGGGCTTTACAATGCTATATAGAAGAGATCTAACACACCACAGACTATAAATGGGCTTACAATGCTATAGAAGAGACCAACACACTACAGACTATAAATGGGCCCTACAATGCTACAGATGACACCAACACACTACAGACTATAAAATGGGCTTCTACAAATGCTATAGAAAAGACCAACACACTACTAGACTATAAATGGGCACTACAATGCTACAGATGACACCAACACACTACAGACTATAAATGGGCTTACAATGCTATAGAAGAGATCTAACACACTACAGACTATAAATGGGCTTTACAATGCTATAGATGACACCAACACACTACAGACTATAAATGGGCTTTTACAATGCTATAGATGACACCAACACACTACAGACTATAAATGGGCTTTACAATGCTATAGATGACAATCTCAACACACTACAGACTATAAATGGGTTTACAATGCTATAGGATGACACCAACACACTACAGACTATAAATGGGCTTTACAATGCTATAGAAGAGATCTAACACACTACAGACTATAAATGGGCTTACAATGCTATAGAAGAGACCAACACACTACAGACTATAAAATGGGCTTTACAATGCTATAGAAGACACCAACACACTACAGACTATAAATGGGCTTATTACAAATGCTATATAGATGACATGACACCAACACACTACAGACTATAAATGGGCTTACAATGTTATAGATGACACCAACACACTACAGACTATAAACGGGCTTTACAATGCTATAGGATGACACCAACACACCATAGACTATAAATGGGCCCTACAATGCTATAGAAGAGACCAACACACTACAGACTATAAATGGGCTTTACAATGTTATAGAAGAGACCAACACACTCACAGACTATAAATGGGCTTACATAATGCTATAGATGACACCCAACACACTACAGACTATAAATGGGCTTTACAATGCTATAGATGACACCAACACACTACAGACTATAAATGGGCTAACAATGCTAACAGATGACACCAACACACTACAGACTATAAATGGGCTTTACAATGCTATAGAAGAGACGAACACACTACAGACTATAAATGGGCTTTACAATGCTATAGATGACACCAACACACTACAGACTATAAATGGGGCTTTACAATGCTATAGATGACACCAACACATTACATAGACTATAAATGGGCTTACAATGCTATAGAAGAGACCAACACACTACAGACTATAAATGGGCTAATAATGCTATAGATGACACCAACACACTACAGACTATAAATGGGCTTACAATGCTATAGATGACACCAACACACTACAGACTATAAATGGGCTTACAATGCTATAGAAGAGACCAACACACTATAGACTATAAATGGGCCCCTAACAATGCTATAGATGACACCAACACACCACAGACTATAAATGGGCCCTAACAATGCTATAGATGACACCCCTCAACACACCACAGACTATAAATGGGCCCTACAATGCTATAGATGACACCAACACACTACAGACTATAAATGGGCCCTATAATGCTATAGATGACACCAACACACTACAGACTATAAATGGGCTTTACAATGCTATAGAAGAGACGAACACACTTTCACAGACTATAAATGGGCTTTACAATGCTATAGATGACACCAACACACTACAGACTATAAAATGGGCTTACAATGCCATAGGATGACACCAACACACTACAGACTATAAATGGGCTTACAATGCCATAGATGACACCAACACACTACAGACTATAAACAACATGCCATGGGCTTACAATACAGACTATAGATGTGACAAGCATGCTATTAGATAGGACACCAACACACTACAGACTATAAATGGGCTTACAATGCCTATAGATGACACTCAACACACTACAGACTCATAAATGGGCTTACAACTCTATAGATGACACCAACACACTACAGACTATAAATGGGTTTACAATGCTATAGAAGAGACCAACACACTACAGACTATAAATGGGCTTCTACAATGCTATAGATGACACCAACACACTACAGACTATAAATGGGCTTACAAATGCTATAGATGACACTAACACACTACAGACTATAAATGGGCTTACAATGCTATAGATGACACTAACACACTACAGACTATAAATGGGCTTTACAATGCTATATAGATGACACCAACACACTACAGACTATAAATGGGCTTACAATGCTATAGATGACACCAACACACTACAGACTATAAATGGGCTTACAATGCTATAGATGACACCAACACACTACAGACTATAAATGGGCTTTACAATGCTATAGAAGATGACTAACTAAACACACTACAGAGACTTAACATAAATGGGCTTTACAATGCTATAGAAGAGACCAACACACTACAGGACTATAAAATGGCTTACAAATGCTATAGATGACACCAACACATTCATACAGACTATAAATGGGCCCCCACAATGCTATATAGATGACACCAACACACTACAGACTATAAATGGCTTTACAATGTTATAGATGACACCTCAACACACTACAGACTATAAATGGGCTTACAATGCTATAGATGACACCAACACACCTACAGACTATAAATGGGCTTTACAATGCTATAGATGACACCAACACACCACAGATGGGACCAATGCACTAACATACTCATGGATCTACACTGAAGATATGCCCCACCCTTTGAGAGTAAATAAAGTACTCCAATGGAATGAAATACCCTACGAACTGCTCCATATTCCAGAGCACACAGAAAGTAGGACTGTTCTACTCGACATCAAACATACTAGCTTATCTGTGTACCTTCAGACAACAGTGTACTGTGTAGAACAAACACATCTATGCTGGGATTGAAGTTAACAACAGTAAGCTTCGCCCAAGACAAATACATTCTTGAAGACACACTTGTCTCATTTCCTTATGGCTGGCACTCCTTTAAAATTTGCTGAAATAATCTCCTACAGAGTTACCATCAGACTGGTAAAACACAGTTTCTAACAGCTGCTTACTGAAAATAACAAATGTTGCCAACACCTTTGTGTACAAATTCTTGTTATACATTTATACCAACAACTCAATCTAATGACTGCCAGGTGCATGTAAATGTGATAATTCTAGCTGAATGCCTTCAAGAACAGATTCAAGATAAAAAAGAATTCCAGTGCCCCACAGGAGTATAGTAACCCTCTATGAACATATTGACTCTAAATATTTCCAA